AGATATTCGGTGACTTGGGGTTAAGTTTGGGGTTCCTTCTGAGGTCATGTGGCCCCTTTTCCGATCCCTTTCAAACCAGCCATTTGTCTGCAGTCTCCCGGGCTGTTCTTGTTTCCTGGGATTTCTCCAAAAGCAGCCCAAAGCCACACTCAACCCCAAACCCAATCTCTTCTTGGATGTGGATCTTCTGGGTGTGAACGCTTCAGGGCGATTCCACCTTGATGTGAGTAGTGATGGGAAGGTCAGTGGGAGGGAGCTAGTAAGGGAGCAGGACGAGGAGGTGGAGATCTGGCTGGAGTCCCTCCCCACTTCCAGCTGTGCTTTTGGTTCGAAGGGAATCAAGAATATCATGTTTATAAGAACGATAAAACAGGGATCCCTGCAGCGGTTTGGCGCCTGCCTTTGGCTCAGGGCACGATCCTGGAGACCCGGGATCGAATCCCATATCGGGCTCCCGGTGCATGGAGCCTGCTTCTCCCTCTGCCTGTGTCTCTGCCTCTCTCTCTCTGTGTGTGTGACTATCATAAATAAATAAATTAAAAAAAATTTTTTTTAAAAAAAGATAAAACAGTTTTGGTTTATTACAATATTGGTATCATATTGTATTATCTGCTGACATTTCTTTTTCTAGAATGTTTGCCTCCAAGGCCAAAATCATGAATGCATGTGTACAAATATGCATGTGCATGTGCACACCTATGCACACCTATGCACACATACACACACACACACACACACACACAGGCATTTTTTTTTGCTTAAGCGATGCTTTGGGTTAAGTCAGACTGCTCCTGTCGTTACATCATTATGACTGAATTGACCAAAAAGATTAGAGGTCAAGGTCAGCTTCTTAACCAGGTGAAGAAGGAAGAGAGAACAGTCTCTCCCTGCAGCCAGCCTGGCCCTGCCGGTGGGTGTGAGTGAGTGTGGCTAGATGCCCCCACCCCGGAAGGAGAGCCTCAGGGCTCCATGGCGATGGGAGGGTCTGGGTCTCTCAGCTGGACACACACACAGCCTTCCCGGGTCTGATCTGCCCACATGCTCCTCAAACCTGCCTAGAGCAGCTCCTGGACATCAAGTGGCTGCCCGCTGCTGCAGCCCCTCCCACCTTGGTGCTTAGCATTGACTGTGTGGGCTGCCCTTTCCTCCTTAAGGCCAGAGCCAGACTACTGTACACGGAAGCTGCCGGATACCCAAGCACAGGTCCCTTGCTGTCGCCTAGGTGGGCCACAGTTTCTCTGGGCCTCCCTGGCTTGCTCTGGGAAGCATACAGTGGGTTATGTCGCCACCTATTGCTGGGTGGGTTTGCTCAGCAAAAGCCAGCCAGGGCCTTCTGGCTTGGTAGAGGGGAAAGAACTCAAATCCTCTTTTTGAGGACAGCACCTGGACTTGGGTGGGTAGACACTGAGGTGAGAGGTTCTAGACCACCTAGTGGAAGTTCACCCAGTCCTAGCTTAGCTCTAGCCACACATCCTGGGGCAAGTCCTTCCTCCCCCGGGCCTCAGCCACCTTCTCTCCAATGAGAATCTAAAAGGCATTGGTGCTGGCAGGTCAGCACAGGGAGGGCTGAAGTAAGGAAAGCAGGGCTCCCAGAGCTGGGGCTGAGTAGGAGGCTGTATGGAGGCCAGAGGCCTTGTTCCAACCAGTTCCACAGCAGCACTGAGGCAGGAAAGGCAGCGGTTACACCCAGGCTCTGATGGGGAAGTGTCGGCAGCTCTCGGTTAGTTTCTTTTTTGCGGGGGTGGGGGGGTGGGGGGAGGGAAGAGAGAATCTCAGGCAGGCTCCCTGCCCAGCATGAAGCCCAATGGGGCTCCATCCCACAACCCCAGGACCATGACTTGAGGTGAAATCAAGAGTCAGACACTCAGCTGACTGAACCACCCAAACGCCCCTCTTGGTTAGTTTCTTGACCTCCCTGAGCCATTTTCTTCCTCCCTTGGTAAGTTCACCTCAGTGTCACCCAAGAATGAGGGTCCTGGCCAGCCCCGGAGACAGCAGTGTCATTACTGGGACCCCACACTGTCCAGGAAGCCGTGGGGAGGCTGACTCCATCACACCTCCTGATGTACACATCTTGTGAGAATGCAAGACAAAGACATACATGAAGGTCAACACAGCTGTCTATGCGAGAGGACACGGGGACGAGAGAGAGGAACAAAACATGGGGGGGGGTCATGCACAGATTGGTGGTGACGTGCCATGACTAGCTCTGTTCTCCCGCACCTGCATGCCTCCAAACCCACATCAGTTGAAGGGTGGCTGAGAGCAAACCACGTGATGTGGCTAGAGGGGGCCAGTGCCACCTGGAAGTCACCTTAGCTGCCATGTGCTGCCCACTGAGGAGCCCTTTCAGAAGTTGTTTTGGAGATTGGCAATATGCAAGCTGGTTTCCTTGTTCATCAGGGGCCATATGTCCCCTTGGCAGAAAGAGAGGATGCTGCTGTCCCACTCAGACACACAAGGTAGGTTCGGAGCAGCCAGCTGGTCTTCCTTCAAAGTCCCACCCAGTGCCACAGGCTGCCTCTGTCTCACAGTCCCAGCCCCATGCAGATGAAATGCAGCCAGTTCCCTCAGGGCTTGAGGACACTAATAACACGTGGATATGTTGTAAACTGTACAGAAGCCTCAATCTCCCAGGGTGTGCTGGCCAGAAGGGCCGCTGCTACGTGTGAAGCACACTCTTCCCGTTCTTTATTTACACACATGAATGTATTCAGACTCCATGTGTTATCCTCCAGGTTCTATCTTGGTCCTCAAAGTCACCAAGTGTCCCCGTGGGAGCGGCACTGTGATCTCTCTTACACTCCCCTTTGAAGGACTCACAGTTGCTTCCAATTTTGCCACATCCTCAACAGTGGCAGACGTGCTTTTAGCCCACAAGTACAAGTGGTTTTGAAGGACAGAGTCCTACAAGGGGGACTGCTGGGTTAAACTTTTAATACTTTCAAACGGTCTTCCCAAAAGTCTTCAAGGCAGAGTGACTATCCTCACACACCCACCTCAGGCCACCCCCCTGCTAAAGCTTTCAACAAGTCTCCTCCAAGGGAAAGCTGGGGAAAGATGGCAAGCCAGGAGTGGGGAGTGATGGGGCACCTCACACATGGGTATGCGGGCGTTGTTGGGGTGCAGCCAGACTGGGGACAGGAGAGAAGCAGTAAGAGGAAAGGCAGAGGAGGTCAGTGAAGGCTGAGGAGTGGAGACAACCCAGAGGCACTTATGAAGGCAGGGCTGTGTGGCCACACCTGAGGCGAGGATGAAAGGGCAGCTGGGTGGATGCCCTTGCTGGCTGCGGAGACAGGGCATGGCAGAGGGGCTGGGTGGGGTGCGCACATTGGGTAGGGCAGTGGTTTTGGTCTAGGCCCTCCTGGACCTGGAGGAACTAAGGAATGTCAGATCCCAGGTGATCCCAGGTCCAGATCCTGAGGCTTGGAGCAGACCTGGGAACCATCAGCAAGGTGTTCATGGCCTCTAGAGAAAAACATGCTTCTAAGGCTACCACTCCGGAACTCTGGATTAAAGGAAACATGGCGGTGGGGTGGGGGGGGGTGGTCAGGAGTCACCCAGGGGGACTGCTCAGCACATGGGACCCTGTAGCACCACCCTGCCCTTCCTCCACAGGCACAGAGGCAGCACCCAGCCTGCCCCATGAGGATTTGGTTTCTGCTCTCTGAGCTGATCCTGTCAGGAAGTGAGGCACCAGAAGGTGCAGCACAGGCCAGGTGCCTCTTGGGTCAGGGAACATGCCCAGTCCTCTAGCCTTGTGGTCTGGTGGGGTCACTTCTGAGTGGGTGTTGATCACAGGAACTAATCTGAAATGCTCTGGGTGGTTTTTTTTTTTTTGTTGTTAAAGATTTATATATTTATTTATTCATGAGAAACACAGAGAGAGAAATAGAGGCAGAGACACAGGCAGAGGGAGAAGCAGGCTCCATGCAGGGAGCCTGATATGGGGCTCAATTCTGGGACTCCAGGATCACGCCCTGAACCGAAGGCAGGCACCCAACTGCTGAGCCACCCAGGGATCTCCGCTTTGGGTGTTTTTGGAGGGGGAGGACGGTGGTAATGAGAAGGGTGAAACCAAAGGACTGCCTAAGGAAAGTCCTTGGGAGGAAATCAAGAGCTTCCAGCTAGGAAATTCAGGGAAGAGATAAAGAGGGCAATGACCACTGGATTCAACTGCCAGGAGGTTGGGGCGAGATGGCAAGATGGCAAGGAAGGCAGCAGGCTGGGGAAAAACTGGGGGCCACAGTGGAGAGAGCCAGTGTCGACAATACCCTTGAAGAAGGGTGGCCAGGAACGCAGGCAAGGGTCAGGGAGGGTGAAGAGGGAGGACACAGGGTCCATAAAAGGATCCTATGCCCATGTGGATGCTGCAGGAAGGCCTGAAAAAGCTGTGGAGTAAAGACGGTAAGGGTCAGGGGTCGGAAGCAGAACCTAGGAGAGGGCACTTTGGGCCTCAGCCTGCGGGGGAGGCACTGGCCTGTCTGCTGGGAGTCAGGATCCAGCCCTGGGGGAGCCAAGTGCTAGAGGATTGGTAGCTCCAAGATTTGTCCTGGATTCATCCCATAGCAGCAGCTCCCCACAGAAGGGAGGATACAAGGGAGCCCCAACCCCAATGCTCAGGCATTTCCTTATTGGGTACATTGGAAAGAACTGCTCTGGCTCTAAAAAAGAAACCCAGTTCTGGCTTCTGCTGATCCAACTGGTCTTAATGAATGGCTGTCCCTCTACCCCACCTACTGACTTTACAAGTTTAGTTGAATTCACACAATTAATTTATACTGGATCTTGCAAGGACAGGAAAAGGTTTTATTTATTTACAACAGAAACATGTGTAACATAATTCTCTCTCTAAAACAGAAAACCCTATAAAATAAACAAAGCAATCTCTATTTGTATTTACCCAGGGACATTAACAGCCGGAAAGGGGGCTGGGACTGGGAGAAAAGCCAAGGACTAATTCCATTTAAAAAAAGAAAAAAAAAACTGCCTTTAAAAAAATAGCATTTTTCTACTTGTCAGTAGCTACACTTTCCCCTACTCTGTGTATGAAAACGTGAAACAGAAAACAGCACCTGTGAAAACACATTTCAGCAGCGTCAGTCAGAGATGAGGCAATGGCCCAGGGCTGTGAAATTCCAGCTCCAACTTCCAGGCGTGTCCCCACAATAGCATGCACTGGGAAGTTCTTTCCAGAAAGCCCCCTAGCCCCACTGACGGAGAACTCCAGCAGCCTGGCCGCTCTTGTCTGTAGTTTAGCTGAAGAATCTAGGATCAAACACAGCAGTTAGAAACATACCAGGACACAGCTGCCCAATGTAGAGCAATCATAATCTGGATGTTCCATATGTGGCTGCAGCCACAGGTTAGAGCACCAGAGCCAGCCCTGGGTCTGCAATGATGACCCTAGGAGGGTTCAGGGGACAGATCCCATGGTTGTGCAGCCCCTACTGGGTGGGTTCTGGGTTAACATGGTGGCCCTGAAACTTCAAATCAAGAATACAGGACAGTCTCAGAAGATCAGAACAGAAAGGATCCTAAGATCATCCAGCTCAACTTCATTTTTCAGAGGAAGCCTCAAAAGACTAATTTTTGAATGCAGGGAGAGCTTTACTCATTGGATTTCTCAACTGTTCCCCAAGGAGTGACACTTCCTTAGCCATTTACAGATGGGGAAAAAAGCCGATAGAGAAGCAGCTGCTTTTTTTTTTTAATTTTTTTTTAAATTTTTTTATTTATGATAGTCAGAGAGAGAGGAGAGAGAGAGAGAGAGAGAGAGAGGAGAAAGAGAGGCAGAGACATAGGCAGAGGGAGAAGCAGGCTCCATGCACCGGGAGCCCGACGTGGGATTCGATCCCGGGTCTCCAGGATCGCGCCCTGGGCCAAAGGCAGGCGCCAAACCGCTGCGCCACCCAGGGATCCCAGCAGCTGCTTTTTAACCAGCGACCACAAACACCTGTCGTACACGCTGGGGTGGCACAACCCACTCGGAATGCAACCAAATCAGGAGCCGGGACAAACCTTTCACGGGCAGCTCCATGGTACACCTGGCATCACACTGCCAGACAGACAACACACACACTGATGTGGAGAAATGGTGTGGTAGTTTATCCAGCACCAGGGGACTACAGTTCAATTCTTGAGTACCACCACACCTCCACTCTGTGCTCCTTCGTTTCCTCATCTTTACAATGTGCACAACAATACCTCCCAAAACTGGTGCAAGGTGAATGTGAAGGTCATCTGAAGGAGGGCACCTGATGGATGCTACAGTAACAACCTACTGATGGTTCTGCAGTCTCTGCCTGCCAAGCACCCCTCCTCCCTGATTCCCTGGAGCCAAACACTGGTCCTAGGGCCGCAAAATGCTGGTACATGAAGGGCTGGGAGGCTGGTGGGCATTCCCAGCACTGGGGAATGCAGATGATGTGCGAGTATAAACACTTCATTCCCTTCAGGCAAAACAGCAGTTTCTGAGAGGAGGAGAAACTTGCCTGTGCCATTCCTCTCAATGCCCAGGCTCCACCCCCCGGCACCCCCAGCAGCAGCAGGAGGTGGGTACAGTCCAGGGCAGGAGGAGGAAGGTTAATAAGGCTTCCTCCTCAAGCTGTGTACATTGCTTCTCATTTAAATCTACAGAATGCTTTTTGTCGCTATAAATACTATGGCACTCCAGTGGTTAAGCCCTTTGTTGGCTGGCCTTTATTATTACAAAGTACAGAAAAATATGGTGCCAGTAAAATTCAACTTATAAATCTTAAAGTCACCACTCTGATGGAACTCATTTTTAGTGGAATAAATAAAACACAAAAATAGAAGTACTATAAAAAAATAAGCAGGCCATGGGGGTACAGAATGATACAGGTTTTTAACATGAAGTAACGCAAAGATCTCTCTGAGGGGCCATTTAAGGAGATGGAACTCCATGAACAGGCAGGAGAAGGGCTTTCCAGGCTATAGGAATACTGACACAAAGGCCAGGAGTCAGAAACATGATTAGAGCAAATGAGAAACCTCAGAAAGCCAGTGTGGCTTGGGTGGAGTGCACAAGGGGAGGAAAGGTAGACTACGACACTGGAGTGGCAGCAAGGTGCCAAGTCACTGGGGCCACAGAAGCATCAGGCAGGACTTTTAGGTTTTACTTTGAGCACATTGGGAAGCCATCAGAGGTTCTGAGCAGAGAAAACAACTTTTTAAGAAAAGAAAGGTTATTCTAGCTGTTTTGTGGGGAAGAGATGGTAGGGGCATAAGAACAGCCCTGGGGAGAGAGCAGTCCCTTCTCACCTGGGCTCTCAGCCTGCTCTGTCCAACACACCAAGGTGGCAGCTGCGAGGCAGTGCCAGGTTCCTGGTATGGGCCTTTGGAGACTGGCAGCTTCACTCTCTGTTGGGCAGCATCTCACATCCCATTTATTCCTCCATGAACCCAAGCTGCCATGCAAGTGCAACCATTCTAAGGCCATTGCACTGGACAGGCCACATGTGGGCTCCAGTCAACAGTCTACTCCTATGCCTGACTAGAATGAGGCCCCCTGCCCATGGCCACCGATGTAGGAAGCATTTGCTGTACTCTCCTAGGCATCTAGACAAGGAGAGGATGGGGGGATGACCACACAGGACGCATGAGGACAGAAACATCAAAAGCACTTTCCTGTCCAAACCCAAGCAAAGTCCTGGAGAAACAGCATGCTGGCAATAATATCTTAAGAATCTCTGATGCAATCACACTGAGAAATGTCCATCCCTGGGGCCAAAGCCAATTTGATAATCCCTCTGATCACTTGCAACTTCCACCCAGCTCAGGGCCCAGCAGGACTTGCAATGTTCAGGCCCAGAACCTACTGGTGAATCAAGACAGAGCTCAAGCCCCAGAGTCAGTCAGGGGAGAAGGAGACTCATCGGAGCACCCATGGAGCATATCTAGTCATTCCACTACTAATGCTGTTAGTTATACAAACAAGAATCATTCTATCGTTAAAGTGAAGGAGTTAATTTACCCGGTATAGATGTGAGCCCTTTGTTCCAGGTATCAGAGGTGGCATTTTAAGTCCATAAACAGAAATTTTGGTACAAAATCTTATTTACTTTATTTAAAATAAAATCTTAGAAAAAAAAATCTACATCCAAGTAGAGCTCGAACCCACAACCCTGCAACCAAGAGTGGCACACTACTGACCAAGCCAGTCAGGCACTTTAGTACAACTATTTAGATATTTGAATACAAAATAAAGATCTGGATCCCTACTTCAAGTTAAGGATGGAAATAAACTACCAATAGTTTTAAAACTCTAAACATAAAAAGAACTCTAAAACTACCAGAAGGACACAGATGTTTCTTGTAAGTTGTGGGAAATGTAAATAATAAGCAAATGAGGAGATACAAAAGTATCAAGTAATCAAGGAAAGTAATCAAGGAAACACAAAATTCAAACACCAGAAAGGTTGGATGAGGCCCCTCCCACAGGTAACTGCACTTCCTGAGCTCTAGTCCACAGGAACAGGAGCACCTGTGGACCGGTGCCTGGAGCCTGGGTAAAGCTGGCCACCTTAGCCCACCTGGCTGGGGAGCCCTTCCTATCCACAAGTCCACAAGGTTGTGCTCAGGCTCATTGTACCCCTCTTCACGGGGGTCTCGGGCTCTCCATTTGCTTTCTTCTCAAGTCCAAAAGTCCCCTGCGCTCTTCCCTCTCAGGCATCAAGCTGCCTATTAACCTGGGAGGAGGAGTAAATTTAGTTCCCTTTTACTTCAAACTCTCCTCAGTTTCAAGGTCTTTCATTACATAATGTCCCGGAGATGAGCTTTCTCTGGGAAGGAACCATTCTTTGTGTACAAGAACCTCTACTGCTCTCCCAAAGCAGCCAATTAAAAATGCACAATATTTCTATCCCTGCCACATCAAAGATTCAATATTATAGAAACCATAACAGCAGGTCAAAGGGTTAAAAAAAAAAGCTTATCTTTGTGACAGGAAGGCGTTTGATACCAGTTCCTCCTGATAAAAGCTTTTAATAAAAACATTTCCTTAACATGGTAAAAAGACTATCTCAACCAAAAGTCTGCATCACACTTAAGAGCTAAGAGTGGCCATCACAGCCATGAGAGACGTGGATGTGCAGCACTGTCACCCAGCACTAGCCTACATGCTTAGATGGGCTCTGGGTAAAATAAGAAATGTACCTGGTAGAAATATTTGGATACAATGATCATATACCTAGAATATCCAGGGAAGCAACTGACCAACTAAGGTAACTTACTGACAGAATTATCAAAAAAAACTAAAAAACTCACAAAGGTGTTTGGTTACACAGAAATAGGCAATATTTATAGAAAGGACACTTGACTCTAAATGTGAAAAGATGTTTAGGGACAGGCTAATACTAATAACAAGATTTCCTCTCAGATGTACCAAACTGGCAAAGATTAAACAGTATAAATGATAGAAAAGCTATGGGACATAAGCTCTCAAATGCTACCAGAGGGTCTGTAAATTGGTACAGCCACTTAGGAGATCAATTCAGCAATACCCAGTTCAGCTGAAGAAATACAGATCACAACTCAAGAACACATTTACTAAGTGTCACAGAAACTCAGGTGTGGGGGGCCATAAGTACAGTACACCTCCTGTTACTATTTTTTTTTAAATTCTTTTTTTTTTTAATTTTTACTTATTTATGATAGTCACACAGGGAGAGAAAGAGAGAGGCAGAGACACAGGCAGAGAGAGAAGCAGGCTCCATGCACTGGGAGCCTGATGTGGGACTCGATCCCGGGTTTCCAGGATCGCGCCCTGGGCCAAAGGCAGGCGCCAAACCGCTGCGCCACCCAGGGATCCCTACCTCCTGTTACTATTAAGAATTTTACAATACTCACCTAGGATGGAATGCAACTCACCATTTTTTAAAAAATGAGATGGTAGTTGAGTGCTAACTTGGTGATCACCCAATGTATTTAAGTTTTATTTAACTCATCTCTATGCCCAATGTGGGGCTTGAACTCATGACACCAAGATCAAGAGTCACATGCTGTTCCAACTGAGCTAGCCAGGCAGTCCCCCAAAATGTACTTACACACATTATAGTACAAAATATAGGATTCTATTTGTAGGGATTCTATTTGCGTATACACCCACAAATATTTACAAAAATATTCTCAAATATTCACAAAAAACCTTTTAGGAAGGATACATATAAAAACATCAACAGTGGTTATCTGTCAGTGGGGGGGTGAGCTTGGGGACTGGGAGCTTTTACTCCAACTCTCCTCCACTT